ATATGTGCAGTGGTTTGTTTTTCTAGATTGAAACGAGGAAAACAAATCTTATGGTGATTTCTTAACTTGAGTTTTAAAAATAAGAAAAAACATAGTCATCAAGATCAGAAATATTCATGTTCATATACGCATGCAGCAACAAAAAAAATGAACAAACCTGGTGATAGCCGATTGGTGACGCCGGAACGGAGATGGTGATTGCCGAGATCTTGGCGTGAATGGCGTAGGCTTGAGAACGCACGAACTGGGAGAATGTGAGATGGTGATTGCCGATTCGTGAGGGCGGAGAAGACGAGAACGACACAGGGGTTGAGGGGTTGAGATCTGTGAATTTCGGCCGACTTGGGAGAAGGGTTGGAAATCGGGTAGGGAGAAGGGCTGGGAAGTGGAATTGGGTTTTTTTTCATTGGGCTATAACTAAAAGATTTGGTCTGGGCTAGTGGGCTTACATATATTTAACAGTTAACACTTACTATGGGCTCGGTTATTCGGTCGGTTTCGGTTAACATTGTCCAAAACCGAAACCGAAACCGATAACCGAATTAACCGAATTTTTTTTACATTAAAACCGAAAACCGAAATCGAATTTAAAATTGCGGTCGGTTCGGTTATAGTGTATCGGTTAATCGGTCGGTTCGGTTAATTTGCTCACCCCTAGGTATGGTGTTTGAAAGGATCTTAGCTTCTGGTTCTATTTCGCTTTTTCATCTCGTCCATGGCCACCGAATTCTCGAGGCCGGCCCTAGAAAGTATGAGGGAAAATCCCTTTTTTTATTATTTTTTTGAAATCAAATTAATTTTATTAAAAATGTGTAAAAGATATATATTTAAAAAATACGCCAAAGTAGTACAAATATAAAATAATTAATTTTATAAAATAATCGATAAGAATACACGAGCAAATAAAAGTCATCTTGAAATAAAAAAATGTGAAATTTATTTAAGGACACTGGGAATAACGAAGTGATGGTCGTTGCTCAAACGTCTATATTGTTTCGTTTCGTTTGGCAATAGCGTCACAATTTAGTTTTAATCGTTTGAAAAAAATTGTCAAATTTAGGTTACCATTTTAAAACAATAATGAATTAAAATAGGGGAACACCAATATGGGGTACCCCATTTGTACACCAAGCTAATATAGACACACACAAACACAAAATATCTGTGCTGCACAGATATTTTATGTCTATGTTAGTATGGTGTACAAATGGAGTACCTCATGTTAGTGTACTCCTAGCATTGCCCAACAATAATATGTGTTGGAAATTTATTATAAATTCAAAACAAAATTTAATTTGAAATGGATGGGCAGAACCCTTACAAGAGATATATTCACTCTTAAATGACATAATTTTTAGGAATCTATTTTGAATTTAAATCGAAAAATTTTAAATAAATAGTTATGACTTTTACAAAAGACATGCCTATTCATAAAATCACAATCTTTCTCACGTTGTAAAGGTCTTCAGCCATTACGCAAAAAGGATCAGAGAAAAATGATAGAAAAATGATATGTATTGATAATATACTTATTTCATCGTAGTTGATTAAGTTTTAGTTAATAATACTAATACGTACAATACATAAATATTACGAACTAATTTAATTATTATTTCATTGATTATCTAAAATATTGAAGAAATGAAGTGTTACTAGTATTCATGTTTAAGATAATGAAATACTCCGTACAGAATATTAATTAATGATAACTCATTTTCCATAAGTAATTTTTTCATGTGTTGTCCTCTTAAAACAACTTTCATTAAATAAAGTACATGTGCATATTATATTGCAAAGCAACAAATAATTTGATCTCTTTTGTTGTATCTCAAAAATTCAATCGTACGGAATATATTATATTGTTCCAACAATATGCACTATTAAAAATTACTCAATACCATAATGTTAGACGTTGTTTTTTAAATGGGCCCTTATTATAATTAACCTGACAATTAATATTTGATAATAATTGTAAAATTATGATCCAAAAATAAATAAAACAAAGAACACACCAATAATTGCAAATTTATAAAGTCTTCCACTATTACATAAGGAGTACTATTCCTTCCGTCTCAGTTTAAATCGCATGTTTTGATTTATGCTGTTTTACTGTAATTATTTTCAATACAATTTATTTGAGAAATTGAGTAGAGTTAAAAAATAAAATCAATATGCTTAAAAATTACATCAAAAGTTTTACGAAACAAGATGTGACATAGCTATATTCTTTATCAAATGAATAACGAAAATGGGAAAATAAAATTAATAAAGTTTGATTATATGAGTAATACACAAACAATTTAATTTGGAATGAATAGAGTATAATACTCTGAGTGATAAATCCAAAATACTGACTCACAATTAACTTTTAATTTTTTTTTCCATTCTGCCACCTCAACTATTGTGTTCAAAGACACTTTTCAAAGTTTAGGCCAAATTTGATTTCCAAAAACCATATTTGATTTTTCCTCCTTGAATAAATTTTTGAACTCTTTTTTTTTTCTTTACTTAATTGTTTTTTTGAGGAATCTTTACTTAATTGTTAAGTACATATGGGCCCTCCAATTATATTTGTGAACTCGTACTTGACATAAGTTTGGATGACCCCCAAATATAACTTTACCTCTCACCTCATTCATGTTATAAAAAATCGAGGTGAAAAATAAGGTTATATTTGGTGACATCCTAACATAATCCTTACACATCGACCTCCATTTGGAAAGATCCACCTAACAATGAGAGTGTTTCTCTATTTTAATGTTTATTGACTTATTATGGATAAAAAGTTTTTGAATTATAAACTTTTATAAGTTAAATAAACTTTTGTACCAGTAAAATAACTTAAATGAGAAAGATATTAGATTGGATATACTCGAAAAAGGTGGGAGATAATTTTATAAATAATCTGGTCAAAATGAAGAATTAAAAAATCCATAAAAAATAAGTAAGGTAAGACATACTTATTTTTTTTACTTATAAATGAATTTATAAGCACAAAGAAACACGTCAGCGAATGACTAATAAATTTAAAAAAGTACTCCCTCCGTTTTGAAATAGATTACAATTTTTTTTCTCCTTTCAATAATTTTTATTTATTTGTGTGATTTCATTGAATATTTGATAAAATAAAATATTCTTGTCATCTCTCGTTTTGTAGAATTTTTAACATAATTTTTTAATACCTAATTTGTATTTCTTATTGATCTACCAATTTGTAAATAAAATAATTTTAAAAGATTAAATATTTGTTTACCTCTTAACTCCCAAATTGTAATCAAATTAGGGACAGTGAGAATAATAAATAATTTTAACCAACTTATAAGCACAGAGAAAACTCATACTCCGTAATGGATTATGTATACTAACTTAATTTAAGTTATCTTTTTTTCCTATTCATCCAAATTTAACTTTACTTTCAAACAAGTAAAAAAGCACTTTCATTCGCTGCATTAGCAGACCGAAATCAAGAAACGACCATATTGTTTTTATACATGGAAAATAATACACTCCATCCCTAAGAGATTGTTCCTTTACACAAAACAAAGGAGTAAAATTTTAAGATTTTTTATTCAATTTATTTAAAGATAAGTATAAAAATAAAAAAAATTAAATTTGCATGATTAAAAACTACACCAAAAATTTACAAAACAATAATGACATGAATATTTTGTTTTATTAAATAATCGATAAAAATTAAATACACAAATAAACAAAAATTTTTGTGATTTTAGAATACTGAAAAGCGTAAAACTCTTGAGGGAGGGAGTACGAGATACATAAATTTTTTCTCAGAATTGCATAGATACCAGTCACATAATTTTTACTTAAAATTTATGTCTTCTAAAATTATGTGAATTAATTTGAGACAGAGGCGGCATTTTACAATAATAATGATGTTGATTGTTTTTTGAGTAATTTCCATAAAATGTCTCCAGTTATAGGTTGTTTTACATATTTAGTCCTTACATATCAAATATTACTAATTTAGTCTCCAATTATTATATTGTTTTTCACGAATGGTCTTTTGTTAACATTTTTGTTAAGAACATGGATAAAATTGTATATTCATACTTCTCTCTTCTCAATTAAGTTTCCTCTCTCCTCTCGTAATTTTTCCCAAACTCACTGCTGAGTTTGAAGCTCTAAACCCAAAACTGAAATGATCATTCCTCTCTCAATTATTAGTCTTGCTGATGGAGCCTAAACTCAAAACCAATAAGCTTTATGGATGAGTTTTATCGGTTAAGTCTCAAAAATTGCAAAGAAAATAAACATTAAAACTCATCCATGAAGGTTACTGGTTTCGAATTTGGATTCCACCAGTAAGACAAACAATTGAGAGAAGAGCGATGATTTCGGTTTTGGGTTCAAAGCTTCAAACTCAGCGACAGGTTTGGGGAAGGAGTGCGAGTGGAGAGAGAAAACTTAATTGAGAAGAGAAAGGAGTGTGAATTTACAATTTTATCCACGTTCTTAATGGAAATACTAACAAAGAACCATTCGTGGAAATAAATATAATAATTGGGGACTAAATTAGTAATATTTGATATGTAGGGACTAAATATGTAAAACGACCTAGAACTAGAGACGTTTTATGGAATTTACTCTTGTTTTTTTTACTTGAATAATAATGATACTCCCGTTACCATTCTCTAGACTTCCAAATTCAATTTCCATATATTCAACTTTAATCTAAGACGCCTTGAAAAGGGAAATGCGAAGTTAACTTCACGGGAGAGAGAGTACAACTCTTCCAAAAATACCCAATGATTTCCCTAATCATTATATATTCATACTCCTCCCATCCCACAAACTAAAATCTTAGTTTGACTTCCCAAAGTTTATAACAAGTATTGAAAAATGAAACACGCGCGGTTGAAATTTATTTAGAATGCGAGAGAAAAATGTCACATTTTCTTCTTTAAGAAGGAAGAGGAGTGTGACTTTAACCGTGGGACAACCAGAAATGAAAACTAGGACTTTAATCGTAGCAGAACGGAGGAGGGAATACGTATAAAAGCAATGAATTATCCTCCTGCAACAGATATGGTACAACCCTCTCTTTCCTCCCAAAAGCAATGAATTATCCTCCTGATCATAATCTCCATACTCTTTCTCTTGCAATAACAACCTTCACCGACTCTCCCTGTCGGGAATTCGACATGTAAAGTTGAGAGAAGGAAAATCCAATAACTAAGAATTGTAAAGCGTATAAAATCTTTCATGTGACTACAACCACAAGCTTGATCGGGTTATTTGCACTATGCGCCTTCAAAAAGGGAATAAAAATTACTTAGCACCCTCAAATAAAAAAATTACTAACTCCACCTCCAAAACTATTAAAACCATTCCAAGTCCACCTCTCTCCCTAGCTCTTCATTTTTTCTGACGAAAATTCAAAATTCTCTGGTCATAATGCAAGATTATGAAAGTAAGAACATGCTTGGATGAACTTTAAGCCCAACGAGTAGCACACCTATGGGAATTGCTCAGTGTAAATATATTTCAGAAACATATGCCCTTCATCTCTATTATTTTTTGCATTTGAAAGGATTTAAATTTTCAATTCCATATTTGACTGCACAATGTGGATTTGGAGTGCAGATAGTGTCAGGAACTGAAAAAAAACTAATTGATGATATCAATTTCAGGAAATCCCTGATTATGGTTAGAATCAAGCTCTCATTATTTTATTTCAATTATCATATACTCCGTATTTTTCTTTTGTAGATTATTTTATGTTAAAATAAAAATTTTATGATTTTCAGAGTATTTGTTACATGGATGTGTGATGGTGTCTAGTGCAGGATTTGGAAAGAAAATAGCATTGGGACTAAAGCATCCCATCCGCACCAGATCTTTTGAAGATGAAGTGAAGTTGGACTTTGAATGGTTTTAATATTTTTAGGGGTGGACTTAGTGGTTTTTGCTTTTTGAGGATGCAAAGTAACTTTTATTCCCTTTTTGAGGGTGCATAGTGTAAATTATCCAGCTTGAGCTTGTGGAGTTGATTCTTTAACATGGTGTTAGAGTCTTGCTGAGATCACGAGTTCGAACCTCGTTGCCACCCGGTTTATAAAATACAGAGTAATAATTTCCACGTACAAGGGTCATGCACGTGAGGGGGCGTGTTAAAGTATAAAACATTTCCTAAAGCCGACAACCACAAGCTTGAGCTCATGGTTGAGTCTCGAGTTGTTTCTTTAACAAAAATTACAAGGGCAGTGACGAGTTTATAGGAGTGGCTAGTACCACGAGATCATACCTTAAGCTTTTGGGTTCATATAGACCTAGTTGCTCATACAGTGCATCCTCTTGCCAACTCTCATTTTGGGCCCACCATATTGGGGTGGATTTCGGGCTCTTGCATCGAACTGCCATGGCTATAAAGATAACTTCAAGCTTATCCTTGATATGCCCTCTCTCATTTTGTGAAGGGAAGAGAGAATTTCTAATGCAGACAACCCAATGCCCTTTAGGACAGGGGGGATGTATATGAGGAAGGAGAAGAAGACAGATTTACAAATTAGTGAGAGGAGGATGTGTACGATGAAGAAAAGCTCTTGTTCTTCCAAAAGAAAGTCAACGCCTTCTCCAACTTTCTTCTTGAAGCTGACTTGGACAATGGCTTCAGATCTTCGGAGGAGATTGTTGCCGAGTCACCACTATGTTCAGGTGGTTGTTGCCTAGTAGTACCTTTAATAACTACAGCTGTTGAGGGCTGCTGCTGCTCCTTCTGTCGCTGCTCCCTGAAAAGCATCAATAGCTTCTGAGCTTTTTGTTTCCCTCTCACGGTTCCATTAACTGACATTGACACCAAAGAAGGTATCACTCCTTCTTGAAGCACCATCTCACTGCATTTCTCACTTCCACTGCAAAGTATCAAAAGNCTTCAGATCTTCGGAGGAGATTGTTGCCGAGTCACCACTATGTTCAGGTGGTTGTTGCCTAGTAGTACCTTTAATAACTACAGCTGTTGAGGGCTGCTGCTGCTCCTTCTGTCGCTGCTCCCTGAAAAGCATCAATAGCTTCTGAGCTTTTTGTTTCCCTCTCACGGTTCCATTAACTGACATTGACACCAAAGAAGGTATCACTCCTTCTTGAAGCACCATCTCACTGCATTTCTCACTTCCACTGCAAAGTATCAAAAGGCAAGCTGCAGCTTGCTCCTGTTCCACTGGCTTGCCGATGTCCAGAACAGACCCGAGGCTACTAATAAGCCCGGGAGATGATATCATTTGTTCTTTCGCGGATTGACTGCTAGATGTCAAGTTTATGAGAATGGCTATGCACTTTTCTGTCCATGTATGATCATCTGAGAATGTCATCAGGGCTAGAAGAGCATCAAGAATCCCAGCTGACATGAGATGTGGTGTGTTGCTTGGCTGGTTGGAGAGGTTAAAGATGGCATGGAGAGCATCCAATTTGCACTGAAGACCAGACTCGTGTTGAAGGACTCGCAGCAAGAAGGGCACCGCTTCGCTGGCTCCTATCACAGCCTTGGCTTCTTCAAGGCAAGAAAGGTTCAAGTAAAGTGCGGTTATGGCTCCAAGGCAGCTAGAATTTGTGATCATTTTCTTGAGTAACGGAAGTACTCTTGCAGCCAACATCATTTCTTTGTTTCTGAGGGAAAAAATTAAGCGAAATGATGATGACAATAATAAACTTCATAAAACATCTGTTGAGATTCACGGGAAAAAGAAAAATTAACTGTGTAATTAAATTTAAAACAGAGCACCTGTTGTTATTTACACCAAGGTTGAAGAGAGCCATAGCACCAATTTCCTGAGCCATCTCATTCCTAGCTTCGACAGCGGACTCCAAGAACTGCAGCAAAGCTTCAATAAAGCCATTTGCCCCCATAAAAATTCTGATTTCTGCATCATCCTTTAGCAAGTGTCGCATCTGTTCTACTACTTCGCATTTTTTTGTGAGATCATCGTCACAGTTTAGAACAGTCAAATAATCCTCATATCTGATTTCTGTGGAGTTAGAAAGAAAAAATTCAGTATCCTGCTCAGATTCATCAACTTCAGCTTCCTCAATAATCCCACTATCCTCCAAGGGCACCACCTTAACACTCTTCAACTTGCAATGCCCAGTACTTTCAATTGATTTGGAGTTTTCAGATTCACTTTCAGACAACGACAGCCTCCAGTAGTTAAGATCAAGAGACTCTGGTGGGCCGTCAGGAGCATGAAAACCATTCTGTTCGCACCAACTCGCAACCAGGCCTTTCACACAGTAATTAGGAGTCAAACCGAAATGAGGAAGCTCCTGCTGAGTTTTTGGGCATGTATTGTGCCCATCACTAAACCACTTATCAATGCAAATCCTTTCATATGTTTGGCCGGATGCAATAATCACCGGGTCATACATGAGTTGTAACGAGATTGGGCACTTTAGCTCTTCAGGAGGAACCACAATTATCTGGTCTAATTTCCTAGGGTTAGGTTTAAAATTGAAAGAATTGAGCTTTGAAAATTTCCGGTCGAAGGCATGTACATGGCCAATACCATCCCCAAGAGATCCCTGGACAGTTGGAGAGCACGGTGATGACCCTTGTGAATCATTGTCATCAGAGAGTTCACTTCTAAACAACTTTGAGTACTTTTTCGTTAGATGCATAAGGTAAGCAACAATGGACTCCTTCCTCTTATCTTCTTCAACCCGTGCTCTTTCTATGAGCTTTTTCAGAGCTCTTCGTTCTCTGAGGGCTGCCCTTGAGGAGGTGATACCAAGTCTAGAAGCAGCCTGATGAAAAGATTCAAGTTCACTGTTGTCATTCCCGCTGCTATCAAACTTTCTACTTTGCTGAAGTAGCGCAATTATCTCATCGCCCACTTGTTTTTCATTCGGATCAAGTGTGAAGACAATCTCATGAAGTTCATTCAAAATATCTGATATCTGAATCCAGAAAATTTTCCCATTACTATTAAAGTATGAGAACCAGTGTGGTAAGTTATGAGTGTGTAGAATAATAGACAAACAAGAGAAAAGATGCACAAACTGGTTGAACAAAAGAAACTTTATAAAAGCAATTGAAAAAAATACTCCCTCCCTTCCCAAATGAATGTAGTTTGACTTCACGAATTTTAAGAGATCTGTTGAAAATAAAAAATGTGGATAGAATTCGTTTTGAGGAGAGAGAATCGTTGCCACCAAATTATTCTTTTCTTTTAAAAAAAGAAAGAAGCGTGTACTTTATTTTGGGACAAATAGAAAAGGAAAATGTGTAATTCATTTTGGAGACGGAGGGGTTAATTATTATGCTAATGAGTAGAGATAAAAAATGAGGGTGAGCCTTGGCGGAAGGGCAACAGTTGAGTTGCTCTTGGCAAAAATATTGAGGGGAAGGCTTTGTATTATATGGTGTTTCTGCCCCCTACCCCTGCAAGTTGGGGAGCACTGGGCACACCAAGGCTTTCCCCTAACAGAGACAAAAACTACCTGGCAACCAATGGCCTGTGGAACTATATCTTCAACTCGGTTTAGACTGTCTTCAAGTCCACACCTTGCTCTCTCAAATTTAAGTACAACAGAGTCTCCAGTTATCGCCTGGTCAGATAAAGCATAACAATTACCAATTAAACGGTCAAAGAGAGGGGAAAAACATATCCCTTGCCAATGAAGCTCAAGGAGTCATTATTGACAATGTTTTAGTTTCAGGTAAATAAAGGTGAGAGAATGGCAATGCATTGGATGTTATATTTTCTGGTCCCACCTAAACATAAAAACCCTTAGAGCAATTTCTTTATCATGTGTTCCTTGCCAATGGAGGAAAAAGAGTCACTTTTACGTTAATTTGGCTTTACATAAATATTGGACTAAATCAAAATGAGACATTATACTTCCTTAGTTCCTTTGCTTCTTACTTCCTATGAAGTTTTGGGTAGTAAATGCATTGATGCATCAAAGGTCTACCACAAACAGGCTCTTTTTCAAGCTGGGTAAGGTTGAGTACATCTTGACCTTATACTCCAACAAAGTTAGGATAACACTGCTTTGTTGTATCTTAGTCCTAGGTAAGTGGTAAAGTCATAGTATGAACGTAATCAGGCCTAAATTAGTTTTTTCAGCAATGCAGTGCAATGCAAACTTGGTTTGAAAGAGTTGTGATCATTTGTTAACGAATTCCAGAGACGCAGAACCCCAAATTATCAATAATTGAAGATCATAGAAGCAATGAAAAAAAAGAGAGTTACCAGATAAAGTTTACTGCATTCAGCACAATGTTGAAGGATATTCTTTATCTTCTCAAGGGCTATGTGCAAAGCACATAATGCCTGAATACCTGTAGTGCTTCTAGGCCGCGCTGCTTCGAGTTCTGGAAAAATACCCAATACTTTTGCATAAACCACATATAGACTCTTGCACATTCCTCCATGTAACTACATCATCAGCAACATATTTGTCACTAACTCATCCATCAAAAATTCATGAGCGTTCATAGAAACAGACAGCTAATGTGTAACACTCAGTTACATGAGTTCTTTGGAAAAAGTAGAAAATTAATGTCATTTTTGAAACAGAGATGGGTAGAGAAAGGACTGTTTTTACGAAGGTTACACATTGATTGAAAGAGGAATCGATAGAGAAAGAAATTTTCATTTTAAAAAAAGTTTGGTTACACCTTGAAAAATATGAAGAAAAATCAAATATGGTAAAAATTCTCAAAAACAATGACACACATTTACATTTATTACCCTCAGCATAATAGAAATGAATGAATGAATGAATGGATTTGAACAAATACATGGAAATGTTATATGAATTTGATTTTTATTTTAATTTTCTCCAAACTATCTTTCCTCCAAATTTTGGTTTCTATTTTTCTCACAAACATTTTCTAGGTTCCAAACAAAGTAACAACCAACAGCCTCACAACGATAAAATGAATTGCATCACATCAAACAATGACACAAATTTTTACTTAATAGAGGGAATTAAAAAGGTAAACATAAAAGGGAATTGTAAGGGGCAGGTTCTATACAAAAATCATAAGCATTCAAAATATGAAGATAAACCATCTATAGAACATCCAGCCTAAACTTCAATTCGAATGTAATTTAACTCATTAACCCAAGGTTTTCATATGAAGTATGAACAAATGCTAGGTAAGCAAAATTAGACAGCAATCAATGAGTACACATACATCATACTTAACACATACCTTTGGCTCGCCAATTGAGGATAAAACCTCTTCTATCTCTGAACTTTCCATTTTTTTTATTTACATCTAAAGAACGAAAGAACAGCCCAATTCCGAATCACCTGCACCGGAAGGGAACGTGCACAGATTAACATCACTGTATCAGAACAGTACCATAACACACTAAAACTGGCATAAAAGCAAATATCTTATGTGCATTCATCACATCAACATAACTAAGTTCCAAAAAAACTGCTTCATACCAAAATTTCAGGAAAAAAATGATAACCTATTCAATAAATAATCGTCGCGTACATTATGCCTGTATGAACCACGGAGCATAGGTTTTCAAATCAAAGACTAGAATTTAAACTGACAGAGCATCCCAAAATTCATTCAGCTGAAATATTTTGAAAAAAAAATAAAGGAAAAAACCCTCATGCAAGGGATGAAACCAGGAGAAGTGGAAAGCAAACAAATAAAAATAAACCCAAATATATATATAATCTGTTGAACAGAAACACATATTGTATGAAAATATGAAATTCAAACAAAAAAAGAGCACCATGGCTGTATGAATCTCAAGCTAATGAAAGTTAACTGAAAACTTACAATGAAAAACAGAAGAACAAAATCCAAGGAGGCTTCATGAACATTATCCTAAAACACAAATTATGCAATACTGACAGTACGTTAGAATGCCCATATGAATGTACAAAGTTTATGTATGAAGATATATATGGTACTCCGGATTATTGTTGAAGTCCCAGATCAGAAGAGTTTCAGAAGGGCAGAAGAATGATGAATGGCGAAGAAGAAGATGATGGAAGGACAGAGATTTTTAGGGGTTATAAATGAAAGATGTAGAACTTGCAGGGAGTCAGTCCATTTCGCTATCATAGTTAAATTTGTTAATCTATTTTTGGTTGGATACGTGTTGCAAGAGCTTCCGTTTATGAGTTCGTACATATTATTGGGAAACTTCTATTATAAACCACATATTCCACTCTACCATGGTAAAACTAAGTACTCCGTAATTTTTTATAACCCCTTGGTTCCTACTTTAATTAATAAAGTAGCAATTAGTCAAGCAATGCAACTTTCGACATTGAGCTGGGGGTCTCTTTGGAAACAGCCTCTCTACTTTCGAGTAGGGGTAAGGTCTGCGTACACACACTCTCCCTAGACCCTACTCTTGTAGAATTTAACTGCGTTGTTATTGTTGTTGTTGCCTTGGTTCTCATGACATTGGGAACCAATATCATGGGATGATCCGAAGGTTCTCTGGTGTCCCGTTCGTAAAATTGACGGTTCTTACCCCCTAACCCTCCGGTAAACTCTCCCACCCCGACCCGAACACACCCCCCACCCCCTTCAATTGCACCCCCAAGTTAAATTTGACTTGGAGTCAAATTTGACTCCAAGTCAAAATTAACTTGGGGGTGCAATTGAAAGGGTGAGGGTCTGTTCGGGTCAGAGTGAGGTGGGGAGGTTTACTGAGAGATTAGGGGGGTAAGAATCGTCAATTTTACGAACGGGACACCGAAGCACCCCCGGGTCATCCCATGACATTGGTTCCCAATGTCATGGAGCCAAACTCTTTTTAAAAATAAAATAAAAGTACTCCATCAAGCCATAAATATTTGAAGCTACTAGTCTACCGGTAGACCTGAGTTTGAATTCTGACAATTGTACTGAAAGACAATTATGTTAAATATCAGATACAAACTTTACTCTTTGTCATGAATCTACTATCGAAGTTCAATTTACCTTTGCCTAGTGACCATCCGATCTAGGGATGGCAACGGGTCGGGTTCGGGTTGGATAGTACTATACCCGAACCCGACCCGACTTTTAAAATCGAAACCCGACATTTTAAGCCAAAAACCCGACACGACCCGAACCCGGCATTTCAATCCAAAACCCGAACCCGACTTTTAACCAATAATCAATTCGACGTACCCCAATAATTTTAAAAGGATTAAATCTAATTTTTTTGTGTCTCTTTTTTGTGTCTCATTTTTTATTAAGGAATTATAAAAAATGATTAAAAAAGTTATACTTGATATAGTAGCACTTTGTTAAGAGATTATACGGAGTGCTCATTATATCCATAGATAGGCTTTTATGTTATTAAATATTTGGGTTTGAGTCGGGTCGGGTAAAATTATAAACTCACACCCGACCCGACCCGAAGTCGGGTTCGGGTAAAAAAATTTCGGGTCGGGTTTGAATTATTTTATTCTCGGTTCGCGTTCGGATAAAGCTTGGATAAAAATTTTAGTGCTCGGTCGGGTCGGTTAAAGCTCGGGTTCGGATTGAATTGTCATCCCTAATCCGATTGTGTCTGAGAGGGCCCTTCGGAAAGGAGCTCATCTTTTGAAAGCTACTCATTTCTTACTCCCTCGGTCCTAAAACTATTTTCTCAATAACTATTCACATGATCAAATTTAAATCACTTTCTTGTAGAGGAATTGATGTGTGTCTCGACCTCCTTCCCCGATGGCCGATTTACACAACCAAACTCTTGTATACTCACACACACTCAATAATATAAAGATATGACTTTAGAAAAAGACTTTGTATTATATAGAGAAAATGTACAAGAGAGATTACAATTACAAGTGTATCACACTTCGCTCTTTGTATTAGGAACACCTCTCTACACCTCACTCACAAGCACTCTCAAGAAGCCTTATTGGTTCTTCGCTCTCTTCTTCCACCACATTCATTCCCAAATGAGGCATCCACAGCCCTATCTATACTCCTCATCAAGGCTAGGCTTCTTTGGAATGTTCTACACATCTTTTTATCTCTAGAATCTTCTAGAAAGTCTCCACATGCTTCCATAATGTTTTAGAAGAATCTAGAGAACTCCACATAGTTTTAGAATATTCTAGAGGACACTACATTCTTCCACACGCTTCTATAGACTTCCAGGCTTCTCTAGAAAGTTCTATAAAATTCTAGAAACTTTTACACTATTCGGCACATTTCTAAAGACTTCTATACTTCTCTAGAAAATTCTACAACATTCTAGAGAATTCTACATATCTCCACCAACTTCTAGAATTCTCTAGAATCTTTCCTCTCACAAACTTTTAGAAATATTGAATTAATATCCCAACATTTCTTTACCTATTTTCGTTAGTTATTTGTTAAAATAATATAATCTTGTCACCTCTTGTTTTGTAGAACTCTTGATGTACTTTTTAAATATCACATCTTGTTTTGTAGAACATTTGATGTACTTTTACACCTACAATCAAATAAGTTGAATTAAAAATAAAGTCGGTCAAACTTCGTAAACACAAATGGGAAGATAGTTTTAAGACGGAAAGAATACTATAATTATCTTCCTTATAAAAAAATATTATCTAAATTGTTTCAAAAAGATATTTATTTTCTTATAAAAAAGATTGTGTGTTCTACATTATTTTCATTTTTCTAGAAAAGTCACAAACACACAAGTTATTCTTTATTACACGAGTTATATAAGATATGTCTAGTTTAGTTTTTGAGTGACTCAAGATTTCACTAATAAAATTATTGATATTTGATAAATCATTACAAAATTGAAGGATACCTTACCCAAAGAACATTCTCAATTGCTAGAAAAAAGAAATTTCCTCAACAACCTCTTTCTAACTTTTCCTCTCTTTTACCTCTTTTTTTTTGTGGAAGTTTTTTTTATTCTAAATGAATGACAAAAAGAATACACCCCTCTTTACCCAATCAAATGATCATAGCACAACCAATGAATACAAGAATTCACCTCTCCTTACAATCAAAGTACACACGACCACAACATCTTCTAGCAGGAGGTACCAGACACACCTCTTATTCCTTTAAAATATTTTTATTTACTATTCATATGGTTATGTTATATCGTTTTACATATCTTTATCTCTAATCATATGTTAATTTAAAGTAATCTTTTCACATCTTTTATTGTAGAATTTTTTATGTATTCTTTTTATATATACATATATTTTCTGTATACTTTGTTGTGGAGTAATATATGTTTCCATATATTTTCTGTATACAGTATTGTGGAGTAATATATGTTTGGACTTTCTTCTTACCTTTGTGTAGTTAATGAGCCTCATCTTAAAAATGTTCGATATACCCCAATTTAAACATTATTTTCTTTTAGAAATTCACACAAAATTTCTTATACTTTTTTATCATAAAAAATTTACTCCTTTCATCCAGATTTAATATCTTCATTTGATTTTTTACGGCCTGATATATAACACTTTGACCATTTATATTGATATTTATACATATATTTGTAAAACTTAATATTTCAAAAATGTATTTGAAAAGGAAACTACTGATAGGATAATATGTTTCTATCAAAGCACAATTTATATTTTTCCGTATATCGAAGTTAAAGTTTACAAACTTTAATAAAAAAAGGTCAAATGAAAAAATTAAATTCGAACGGAGAAATTTTTACATTTCATATCATATTTTGCTAAACAACATAAACCTACTAACGATTCTCTCTCATCTAGTTACAAATGTTTTAATTTTCAATAACTTTTTAAAATTCTGTCAACTAAAAATGTCAAAAATTTTATAGAGTGACTTTTAAAATTAGATTGTCTCGTTTTTGTTTGGAGACACATTATCTCGAACTTGGAACCTGTTTAGGAATAGAGTTAGCAATTAGCATTAGCATTTTGAAAAAGCTATATACGGGCAACATTTAGAGAGTGTTTAGGAGTGTTTAACTTGTGGATAAAGTGATTTCCACAAAAGCTAAAAGCAAAAGCATCTTATACTTGCTTCTCCGAAACGGTGTTCTATGTTTAAAATAGTAGTGGTGAAAAGCAGATGCTGACATGCCAAACCGAGTAAAATCACTTCCACTCAAAGCAGAAGCTAAATTAGTAAAAGCAGCATACTGCCAAACACCCTCTTAGCGTTATCATTTTCAAAGTAATTTACAATGTTAAAATTTTATTCAACAGACTAACGATAATCTCTGACGCTATTCCCAGAGGCAGGTAATTAAAAACAAAAAAAAAAAAAAAGCAAACCCCTATAGGGCTGTGTGTAGCGCAAGAAAGGCCAGGAAATCTTCTTATACTCAGTCCTTGCTCGGGCGCTGTATTACCAGGCTAATCTCCGTGAATCTTTTGCCCCGCTTTGGCATCTTCGTTTTGAAGGAACTTCATTTTCTTCAATCTCCCCAAATCGCCATTTAGGGTAAGCCAAATCTACATCCTTCTCCATGTTTCACTTTGATTTTCGTTTCCTGTGTTTGTGTAGATATGATATTAGGTTTCGGATTGATATTGATTTTGGGGGTAGTATTTTCACAGATGCTGTGCCCGAACTGCGATGCGTTTTGCAGCACTTTGCTTGTGAAATTCTTTCCGTTTCAAGTTCTTTCCCAGATTAGATTCGAATTGCATTGTTAGAAGAGGAAAGAGTCTTGAGTTGTTTGAACAATTGAAAGTGGTTTGGTTTGGGTAAAAATAATTTCGTTATTAGTTCTGAAGCTGAGAATCATGTGATTGTGCGAGAGAATGATATAAAAACTTGCTATTATCAAACTATTGAAACATATATTATAGGGTTTAAGTTTTAGATGTTGATTTTAGAAAGTTTAGAAATTGATTTTTGGATCTAAACTGTTTTGAATCTATAGTATGTTTTTTATTCTCAGTTTTAATTTTCATTTTAAGAACTTTGTAAATGATCTCAGTTGCAAGTGACGGTGCATTCTATTCGAGATTTGATTCTTCTTGAAAGGACAAAGAGCCTGATAACAGACAATTTTTTTGCACGCAAAATCCCACTTTGAGTAGTCATTGTATCAAATTGATATGTATTGAGACTTGAGAGTTATGAATAATTTTT